ATAGGTTATAGAATACAACTTCATATAGTCTAAATTAGCCTAATGGTAACCCAAAACCAACTAATGATTCTCAAGTAAATTACAGAATTAAGAAGTCACTTTAAAAGTTTCTTGAAATTAAAATTAGCAGGGCAAAAGAAGTATCATTTTTTAATGATATAATTCAAGTAAAATGCAATAGTGAATATAATTTTTCCATATGAGACTTCTAAAACTTGCAGGCACCATGTTTCAGACACACAGACACACACAGAATCACCACCACTACTACAAGCTATTCCAACAGGGATAAAAAGAACTATGCTTAAATGGGATTATTATGGCAAAAAGACTAATGGAGCAACAGCAAATATAACTAACTTGATATTTTGACCAATCATTCATGATCCATGATAATATAGTCCTCAGGAGGACTGTACCATAACAAGTAATTGGCATGAGTTCATTTATAACAGGTAGCAAATTACTTTTATTAAGGTATAACAGAATGAAATAATTTATATACCTATATGCTGTCCTAGTGTGGCCCTGTGGGTTAATGCGCCAGACTGCAAGGCCGTTTGAACTTCAAGGTCGGCAGTTCAAGCTCACCAGTTGCTCCTCGGAAACCCTGTATAGGGTTGCTATAGGTCGGATCCGATTTAACAGCACTGAACAACAACAACAATGCTATTTCTCTAATTTAACCATGTTCTAATTTTATGAGATGATGAAACTTTCAATACAAGGTCACCTAGAAATCATAAATACAAGGTATTTGTAAAATTTAGAAGACTGTCTGCATAAGGGAGGTCAGAGCCCTTTTACTAATATATTAATGCTGTTCAAAATTAAGAGTTTAGAATAGGATTTCTCAACATCAACACTATGGACACTTGGGGGCGAACAATCTTTGTTGTGGGGAGTGCTGTCTGTGCATTATAGGATAATTAGCAGCATCCCCTGCCCTCTACCAAGTAGATACCAGTAGCACCCTCCTCCCAGTTATGATAACCAAAAATGTCTCCAAATGTCCCCTAGGGACAATTATTAATGTTGGCTGAGTATCCATGGCTTAGACCCATGCTTAGATCATAAATATAAAAACTTCAAAATGGATTGGGGGGGGATGTTTTCTTTGTTTTGTTTTTCTTCAGTTCTGGATGTTTCAATATACTATAGGAGAGGGTTTCAAAAGTTTGTGGAATCATAGAATTTTCCAAAGAACTTTTAAAGCCCCCTCTTATTTGAATTTGGTCACAGATCACATTTAAAAGATACAGTCTTTTAGAAAATAAAGTGTTTTAATATCTACCATTTATAAGCTAAAGTTTAGGAGAATCCCAGAGAAGTCTTTGTTTTGTCAACTCTCCCTCCAATCACACATATACTTACTCACAAATACACACACACACACAGAAAAATTATGTCAACTCTCCCTCCAGTCACTCATGGATGCACACATATATTATTCTATCATCTCTCCCTCCAATCTCATGGATACATACACACACACACACACACACACACACAATATTGCCTGACTGGCTGAACTGAAGAAAATATAATTACTTTATTTCATCAAATATATTGAACAGACTTATACTAGCTCCCGGAGTCCTGGTGTGGCACTGCAGGTTAATGCACTGAACTACAAAATAGGTTTGAACCTCAAGGTCGGCAGTTCAAGCTCATCAGTCACTCCTCAGAAACCTATCTATACAGGGTCCCTATGAGTCAGAACCAACTCGACGGCACTTTAACAATACGAGCTCCCACAGAAGCCAAAGGAATTCTCAATTAACTTCAATGTAACTCCAATACCACAATAGAGGCATCACTCTAGCTATGACAAACCTAACTACAAGAGCAAGTATTAATCTCCTCCTTTCATTTTAGCAAACTGTGAAGAAAGATACAAATTAACTACAGGCAGTCCCCAGATTATGAACTTTGGATTTACATACAACTGGTAGTTACAGTCCATTAAACTTAATATATTAAAAATGCAAGGTTCATAATAACAAATGGGGCTATTTTGTGTGAAACATCAAAGCAGTATTGCTACTATACTATGTTAAATATGTTACAGTGTATCTGATAGTGTTTAATGTTTTTATATACAAAATGAATACTATATACCAAGACAAACATCTAACTAACAAACCATACCTGTTTTCATTTACATACAAATTTAATTTAAAGACTGACTCTAAAGAAGGGAACTGGTCCATAATCTGGGTACTGCCTACACAGTGCTTATTAAAAAAAAAAAAAAAAAACAAAGAAGCAGATTTATATTTTGAAACAGAATCTGAAGATAGAGGAATGAAAATTTTCAGAGCTAAGGGAAATCTAAAGCGCTCCAAAGTGAGGACAAAGACTTGGAATGAGAGAAAAAAGAAGAAATTATATACTAGCCAAATCCTACAGGAAAAGGAGCCCTGGTGGCGCATGGTTAAGTACTTGGCTACTAACAGAAAGGAACGAGGTTCAAACCCACCAGGCCCTCTACAGGAGAAAGATGTGGCAGTCTGCTCCCGTAAAGATTATACAGCACTGGAAGCCCTAGGAGGCAGTTCTACTCTGTCCTATAGGCCACTGAGTCCACATAGAGTTGACAGCAATGAGTTTGGGGTTTTTTTAGTATTTACATTCTACAGGAATAATCTGCATAACTGGTCTGCAGAATATAGACCATGGAATGGAAAATGAAAAATCAAAGTCCACAAAACAGTAATAGAAACAGTAAACACTCATCCTAAGCACAAGAATAAAACTGCTCTTTACTACTGTTCCCATTTGATTTAAGAAAGGAAAAAACAAATATCCAGAAACAACAAACTGACAACTTGAGAAAATTTTCAATTCTCATAAAAATAGCCATCCACATGCTTCCAGCATACTAGAGTATACATTACATACAAAAATCAATTAGAAGAAACACAATAAACTCTTTTTTTTACAGAGCATTTGATCCACAACAAAAGTCCTTTAAAAAAAAAAATCAAACATTTCAAGTACTAAAAATGTTCAGGTATAAATATGGAATAAGGTCTTTAGGATTACTTCAATTATCTTTGATAAGAATCACATAGTTTAGTTCAATCAGAAATGTTCATTTAGAAAAAACGATGCAACAATATTTAATATTAGTTTCACTTTAAGTGGTGAGTACCTATATGCCCTATAGCACCAAAACTATTTTAAAAACTATGGTTATTAACCTCCTGGCCCAGTGAAAATAATTCTTCAAGAAACTGATGTTCAATTCTTTTTACTTTCCAACCACATAGAGGAAGCTGTAAGATAGCCTGCTTTTTCAGAAGGAATACCCTGAGACTGCTCAAGAACAACCTCATTCACCAATTAGTATGATGGAGGTGGATTTGGGAGGGAATCATGTCCATAATTCCTTCCAGTAGCCACGATGCCCCTCCTCCTCAAGGGCAGGAGATCAGAAAAGCGATGTGAACCAGAAGAGTTCACCAACCAAAAAATAGAGGAGCAGAGATGTGGAGGAAAAGGAATACTTCAGGGGAAAATAAAAACTACATGGTTATGTCACATAAACAAGAGGTTTAATGCTTTCAAGGCCTTCATTCATTTCAGATACACCATTGTTTATCTTCCTCCCCATACCATGCACAAAAAGACTGTCAGCCTGCCTTAAGCATGTTCCTTCTTCCATTTAAACAGACATGATTCTTTTGGTTAATCTCTGGCAATGATCGCCATTTCACAACACATTCAGCCCACCCGGAACTAATCAATACCACTACAGACATAAGACTAGACTTTATCCATTTATTAACCACAAAGAAATGTACCAATCAGCAAAATTCTATACATTACAAAAGATTCTACTAAAAAGGGAGGAGGGAGAAGATGGACAGACCCACAAATACACACAATACAGAGGTACACAAAGAAAAGACTACCACCTTCCAATTTCCCTGTGACAAATGAGATAAAGACATGGCCGTGAAACCTGTCAATACGCCAGCCCCCCCACCATAATTTTATTTTACAATCTAGTGACGAGCATTGAATTTTATGATAAACAGATCAGCTGCAACTTAAAAATTGTTGCATCTAACTCTACTGTTATGTACATTTGCACACCTTTGGGCTAGATGCAGTACTCATTTACAGAATTTCAAGTACAAAAGAATAGTTTTTCCAACCACTGGTTGCAACCACAGAACATTCTCTCACAAAATCCATATTTCAAAAATTAAGTAGCAAAATTATTCTCCCAATTTGGGCAAATTTTTACTTTATGATTACAGGTATTTAACAATAAGAACAATTGCATATGAGCAGTTCTAACGCGAAAACAATACAAAGCGTTTAAAATAAGTAGGTAAGCAAAATGTATGCCCGAAAAGAGCTCACAAGTGGTGGTTGAAAGCCAGCAAATTACAAACACACAAGTGGATACCTCTTCTGCACTGGGTTATAGTTAATACTCCAACAACTACAACTATTTTTAACATTGCTGGGCACCGAAGTTGAAGAAAACGTGAGAAGAGACCCAGATGAAATCGCTGAGATGATACATTGTTTCTCACGGTCAAAATTAAGTAGCAACTAACCTGATCTGTGTCGTAATAGTCACCTCTGAAGCGCTAATTATAAGACGGAAAGGAAAAAAAAAAAAAAACCACGCTTATTTTTGGGAGATCCCACATTAAATGGCATTTCTGAGTACGTCGTTCGGGTCTCAACCTTTGCATAAATTGTCACTTGTGGTATTTGTGGGTTAATTGCAACCCAACCAGCGCTGTCATCCAGTGTTATGGTCACAGACCATGACTTTCTCACTTCCACAACAGAGAAGTCACTTGAATCAGCTTGCCAACCTTAAAACGAGAAAAATCCATGGAGGTTTCCAGATCACAATCAGACCAGGGGGGCGGCAGCAGAGGGGGCTCCGCTGAAGCTCAACGACCCAACAACAAGCGCCGCCGCCAGCAGCAGCAGCAGCAGCCCCGCCGCGTCGCGCTCCCTGCACCTACCTGAAGAACAAGAGATAAGAAAGACTGCAAACGCCAACTTTGCTGCAGCTCCCATTTTCCCCAGGCGCCGGGGAATCCGTAGGAAGTTCTCGTTAAATATCCAGTTCCTGGGTCTTCCACGGAGACAAATCTCCTGGTATGAAATCAACCGTCATAAAACATACTCGGAAACCCCGTCCAAAAAAACGTTCATGGGGTTTAAAAAAAAAAAGAGAGGGAAAACAAAAAAGGCACAACAATTTTTTAAAAATTTGCACCACGGGGAAAACCGCCACACACACGCACAGCACTCAAAACCAAACAACGAAAAGCCAACAACAACAAAAGCGGGTTTTTAAATCACTGTCAAAATCACTGTCAGCTTCGCTCGCCTCTCGGGTCTCTCAGAACAAAACGCCAGGTTGAGGCGACGCGAAGGCGGCGGCGCCCGCTGCCGCCCGGACAGTCCGCGAACCGAGCTGGGTCCGACGTCCGGACCGACCTTCAACCCGGACACCCAAAGTCCGCGGATCACTGGCGGCCGATCCCGAGGCGGTGGCGGCGCAGGGAAGGAGAGGCGGACGACTGCGAAGGCGGCACAGGCGGCGGCCAAGTTCTGGTCCAGGCTTTGGCTCCGGCTCCGGGCTCCGAGCTCGGCCGCGTTTTTGGTCTCCTGGCCTCCGCCGGGCCCCGCCCCCCAGACTTCCGGTTCCGGCCCAAAGCTGGAAGCCTGGCGCGGCGGAGGAACGCGCGGCGGTGGCGGCAGCGGCCGGGCGCAGCGCGCGTGCCGGGCCGGAAGCGCGAGGAGATTGTCGGGGAAGAGAGGCGGGAGCGGGGGAGGGGTGAGAGTGCGAGGGCGGGGCCGGCTGGAGAGTGAGGGGGCGGGGCGGACGGAGGCTCGATACCGCGAGGCCTCGGCGTCCGGCCTTCTTTGGTCAGAGATCCCGCGAGAAAGGGGCGCAGGCACCTCAAAGCCCCCGTGCTCTGACTTGGCTGTGGTGCTCTAGCGGGTGGGCGGGTGACTGTGAACGGGTATTGTGCGGTCCGGTTTTCCAAATCAAGGCCCCTGTCCTCTCTTGAGTGCACGACCGGTGGTCAGGTGAAGCCTGAAAGAAATAGGATACTAAGGCGAGTGGGCGGCCGGGGACGCCTCCGAGGGGCGTTTGCCGCACCTTGCCTTTCCTCTGGGGGTCGCTTTGCCCGCTCTGAGACTACGGGCGCCGAATGAGTGGAAGCTGGGTGTGGGAGCTGGTTCACTGCGCCTGCAGAGCTGCCCACCACCCGCATGCTTAGAGCACACGAGCAGGTGTCTGCACCCTGAGCCTTAGCGATGCGTCCCACTCCTGTGGCTTCTGCTAAGCGTTTTGCTTTTCGGCTAAAAGAAGGGAGGGAGGTGGAGATCAACGATGATGGGCTACCTACCCAGTCAAGATGTCCACACCAATTATCATGTTGTGCAATTTTAATACATTCCCACCGATCTCTTTCCTTTACACAAAGCATTGTGTACAGAACTTCTATGTCTACAATAGATTGGCAAATAAAATTAAATAAAACCCTGCAGATTCCCATCAATGGTCAAGTGTTTGTTTTCTCCAATTTTAATCATTTTAGGGCTCTTTTGTCCCGCAATTGCTTACCAGGTGCTGTATAAGGTACAGCCTAGGAATATAAAATGTAAAAATAGGATCGCTACCTCACAGTGGCACCACTGGGGTTCATGTCACCCAGTGCAAATGAAAACATTGATTTCCAGCTTACTGTAATTGTGTAATAACGACAGCACTGACCAAGTGCTTTTGTTGTTCTTAGTTGGACTCAGCAATCTTATGTATAACTGCCCGGTCCTGCCTGTCCTTGTACCTCTTGCCATATTTGAGCCCATTTTTGCAGCCACTTGGTCAAACCATCTCTTTGAGGGTCTTCCTTTTTTTTCACTCACCCTCAGTTTTACCAGAGACTTTCCTAGAGACTGGCCGCTCCTATAATATGCCCAAAGTATGTGAGATGAAGTCTAACATCCTTGCATCTAAGGAGCATTCTGGCTATACTTTGAAACATGTTTTTCTAGCAATCCATTCTATAGTTAATACCCTTCACCAACAAAACAATTCAAATGCATCAAGTCTTTCATCTTCTTTATTTATTGTCCCGTTTTCACATGCACATGAGACTATTGAAAGTACCAGGGCTTGGAGTGCATTGAAAGTTCAAAAAGGGAATTAGCATAGACTTTTAGCCTTGTTTATATATTTAGCCTTGTTTATATATTAATACACGTTTAAGTGGGGCTTCTGAAAAATGTCTTTGTTACTAACTACAGGGATAGACTCTTGTTGTGGCGCTGTAGGATTACACTGGACCACAAACCATAGGGTGAGCAGTTCAAACCCACCAGCTGCTGTTTGGAAACCGGAACAGGATCCCTGTGAGTCAGAACGGACTCCACAACACTTAGCAACAATAGGAATTTTTTTTATGAAAATAAATTTCTGCTGAAGCACTGCAGACATTTGGGGGTTATGCCTCTGACACTGTCACTCAGTGTAGTCTGCACCTCCGGCTCCCAAACTCCCCTATTGACCACCACTGTTATCTCAAGGAACTCAGTGTTTACTGCATTCAGTTGGCTACAGAATGAAAACTAAAGACCATGTTAAAGAACTAGTTGTTCTTTAACATACAATCGTGAGCTCCTTAAGGAGTCCTGGTAGCAGAGTAGGTTGGTTACAAGTTGGGCTGCTAACTGCAAGGTCAGCAATTTGAATCTACCTTAGGAAAAAGAGAAGGCTTTTGGCTCTCATAAAGATTTACAGCCTCGGAAACCCTTTGCTGGATCCCTATGAGTCAGAACTGATTCCAAGGCACACAACCACCATGACCACCACCAGTGAGCTCCACAAAGGTAGGGATCTTGTCTGTCTTCTCCATTTGTATCCCAGAACCTACAAGTGTCTAGCATGTGTTATTGTTAGTTGCCATGGAATCAGTTAGTTCCAACTCATAGTGACCCTGTGCACAGTAGAACAAAACACTGCCTGGTCCTGTGCCATTCTCACAGTTGTTATGTTTGACCCCATTATTGCTGCCATGTGTCAATCCATCTCACTGGGGATCTTCCTCTTTTTTTCACTGATCCTCCACTTTTTCAATCATTATGTCCTTCTCCAGGGACTGGTCCCTCCTGATAACATGTCCAAAGTATGAAAGATAAAGTGTAGCATATAAGAGGACTTAATACACACATGCATAAATGACCAGAGAGTCCTGGTATGGCACTGTAGGATAAGCACTGGACTGTTAAACGCAAGGCCAGCTGTTCAAATCCACCAGCCGCTTGTTGGAAACCCTATTTAGGGTTGCTACGAGTCACAACCCACTCAATGGCATAAATGACCAGAGCATGGCCTTTTTTTTGTTGTTGTTTTTAACACATTATTCTACATATATGCCACACATTTTTTATGTTTTTTTTAATAAAACAATAATAGATCCACAACTATATGGTGAATTCATACTTTACCTGTGGTTTTCTGATTCCCACATTTTTCCCACAAAGCCAAACCTTCTCCCTTGTACTTAGCGTTTTCTTTTTCTCTTGCTATAAATTACTCTGTATTTCTGTCTATTAAGTTCATCCTGTAATTATCTGCCCATTTCTACAACTTGTCTTTAAACTGCCTCCAAGATTTCTAAGTCATGGAGCGCAGAATTTGACTGAGATTGTGCAATAGTTAAGAGAAGTCCCAAGTTAGTGTCTAAATTATCTCATTTTAGGAAGTTCTCTTGACTTTATGAGCTGCTCAGAGAAATAAGTATAAACCTTCCTTCATTCTCTGGTTGAATCAGGGGTTGCCACTAACTTTCTGCAATAGAAGAGTGAATTGGATTTAGAAGCATTTTCAGTTCACTCAGGAGCCCTGGTGGCCCAGTGGGCTGCTGACTGCAAGATCAATGCCTCAAACCTGCTACAAGAGAGAATGATGAGGCTGTCTGCTCCAGTAAAGAGTTATTATTGGAAACCTACAGGTTTAGTTGGAATTCCCTGTACTGCAGTGAGTCAGTTCATTCAGGAGCTTGATGCTAGTTAAACACCAAATCCTCGACTCCTGGTGTGGCACTGTAGGATCAGCACTGAACTGCAAACCACAAGGTTGGCAGTACAAACCCATCAGTTGCTCCTCCGAGACCCTATACAGGGTCGCTATGAGTCGTAACGGGCTCTACAACACTTAACAACAACAACAAACCTGGAATCAGGCCCCACTGTTGTCTTATCTCTGTATCACTTTGATACTGCTTGAATTGTGAAACCAGAGAAAGTGGAATAACCAGAATTGCAAGTAATAGGATTAAAACTGGAAATTAAATTCCTTATCTTACCACCCAAGTTTTCCAGTATGAGAATGTAAGAATAGTAGTATTCTGTAATATTAAAGGGAGTCCTGGTGTGGCTTTGTAGGCTAATGTGCTGGACTGCAAAGTCATTTGAACCACAAGGTCGGTGGTTCAAGCTCACCAGCCTCTCCTTGGAAACCGTATACAGGGTCGCTATGGGTCAGACTGACTCGATGGCACTTCACAACAACAACATAGTATTAAAGAGGAGCTACAAATCAAAGTTTTCGCTAAAATATCCTTTAAGTAAAGAGTTAAATAACCCCATGGGAAGTTATTAACATCCAATTACAGCAATCATAAGGGTCCTGGTGGCACAGTGATTGAAGCCCTTGGTTGCTAACCTAAACGTCAGGGATTTGAACCCATCATCTGTTCCATGGAAGAAAGATGAGGCTATCTGCTTCTACAAAGAGTTACAGTCTTGGAAACCCCATGGGCATGTCTATTCTGTCCTATAGGGTCCTTGTGAATCAGAATCAACTCAGTGACAGTGGATTTGGTTTTAACAGTAGTCATCTATTCTGTACCTAAATCTGTGCTCACCCTGACCCTACATTTAAATTAAAAAAAAATGATTTAACCTAATAGACTTAGGAGTGTGTGGCTAATTCTACTGGAATTCCAAAGCATAGAAAGAAGATGGAGATATCTATGGCTAGCTCTGCAGCTATTCTTTCCTCCCTGTATGCTAGAATCCATTTCTCTTATCACAAATACAACGCCTCCATAACACAGCATCTACTGTACAAGCTGGGTTTAGGAAGGAAGAGAAGGAACATGAAGAGGATCCTGGTCTGTCAAAGCTTTATGGTGTAAACAACTTAAGTTAATGTCACTCAGTCTCCAAATCTAAAGCCTGGCCTTGTATCTACTTCAATGCTAGCTTGGTTCAGGTGCACCTTAGTTCTCAAACTGACATCTTTGCTCTTAAACTCTTTAAAAAGGTCTACTGCAGCAGAGCCTTTACCTAATGCAATACGCCATTTGATTTCTTGACTCCATGAGTGTTGATGATGAATCCAAGCAAAATCAAGTCTTTGACAATGTCAACCTTTTCTCCATTTATCATGATGTCATTTATTATTCCAGTGGTAAGGATTTTTGTTTACTTTACATTAAGGTGCATCCCAGACTGAAGACCGTGGTCTTTGATTTTC